TGGTACTCAGTAATCATTCATTGAGTGAATGCACAAATTCCATTAGAAGCTTCTTTTTTGAGTGGAGTTGGGATTTCCTTGAGAACAGCTGTCAATAATTTTAATCTTTATATCCAGAGATAGCCCGAAATATAAAATCCTATCACTTCACATTATCTAACTGCAGAAATTTCCATTGCTAAATGGAACATTTAAAAAGTGATGGGGGGCGGGGTATGGAAGAACAGTTGCTTCCATTAGCTGAGCTTCCACTTGGGGCTTCAGAGTTCACATAGCAGTTTGGCAATTCTTTCATTATTACTATGATTGTTATTTAGATGCTATTTAAAGATTGAGCCCCTAAACTCTCAGCTGATGTTTTAGGAGATTATGCTATACAGGGTGCAGAAATTGCTGGGGCTGACTGTAACTATTCATAGCCAATTAAGGAACAGCATTGGCAAGAAACGCAGGGTGGATTCAGTTGTGCTCTGTGGGAGTCCTGGTGGCGATGCTTCATGGTCTCTGGGAAATTGCTGCCTGGGCTCTCTTCTGCAAAGGGATCCTCATTTGGTTACCTGGTGGGTGCTTTTGGTAAATAAAGAGGATAAACAACCTTGGGGAATTTAACTTTGTAAGGGGGTTAAAGAGTGAAAGAGAAGAACAAACTAAAGAAATTTTTCTGTATTTGGGAGCATTTACTTGAGAAGTCCCTCTGAAGTTTGCTTTTTGTTTTATTTGGTATCACTTTCATCTCTTCCCAGGGGATGCAGATGTCTTTTGAAAGAATGCATGCAGAAAAACAGGCTGTAGGAGGAGAAATGAATTCTTGAAAGTTTAACAAGCTTCCAAGGACAGAGCTGCTCCGAGAAGCTGGGCTCTTACCACATCTTTAAGGTTAAGATTTGGGAGAACCAACTACGATGTTCCCCGCTGCCACCACTGATGTGGTTTCTTGATGACACAACTAAATGGCCCGTTTCTTATTTATATTTTTAAGTGGGGCTTTTTTTCTTTTTTTTTTAAAGATTTATTTTTTTCCTTTTTCTCCCCAAAACCCCCCGGTACATAGTTGTACTTTCTTCGCTGTGGGTCCTTCTAGTTGTGGCATGTGGGACGCTGCCTCAGCGTGGTTTGATGAGCAGTGCCATGTCCGTGCCCAGGATTCAAACCAACCAAACACTGGGCCGCCTGCAGCGGAGCGCGCGAGCTTAACCACTCGGCCACGGGGCCAGCCCCTTAAGTGGGGCTTTTTAAGGGAGTTCAGACAGGAGGGGAGTATGGCACAAAGGAACCTGAAAAACATCAGCAGATCATGTTTTTGCTTAACTTTGACTATGCTTAACTTTAATCCATAGAAAATTGTTTTGGATTTTTCTAGCTCATGAAAATACTGTGTAGCCCTTGTTTTCAAATAGAGTGTCTATAAGGGGTCAAAAGAAAGTTCAAATAAAATTAAGGCTCAGAGAACAAGGCTGTACACACATGCAGCCAAAAGATCATCCATGTGACATTCTCTAAGGCTCCTGCCTGGTGTCAGCTGGCAGGATGTTTAAGACAATGGCAGAGCTATTTCCCTAGCCCTGCCTCAAAGTGCCAGAGGTGTATTGGGATTGGTCAGGGGTCAAAAGGCATGTGAGAAGAAACAGAGACAAGGCTTATTTGGTTTTAAAATGTCTTATCTGTGTTTGCACTTATTTCTATCCCTGTTAAAGAGGACAACGCATGGATAACCAAGATAGGGAACTTGGTGTCCAAGGTGAAGGAGAATGAGAAAAAAAATTATTTCTCTAGTGAGGTTTGTGATAGGAAGCCGGAAATCTGACCCATGGAGCTGTAATGAAAGCCCTTCCTACATCTTCGGGTGCTACATCAAAGAAGTCACATTCGTTACAGAGCACAGTTCTTGGAGTGAATCCTTCGCTTTCAACAAATGAGTTAAAATGTTTATCTCCAAAAAATACAAGATGTATCTTCAGCAGCTTTTCTCTGAGGAGGCAAAGAAAGACACTACTGCATCCTACTTTTTTTTCTGATTATCTTTTATATTTTTGACAAGTGCCCTCACTTCAAAAAATGTGGGTCTACGTTAATTCTAAGTTCATACTGATCACTCTTATTCAGCCAATATGATTATCAAGGTTGTTTTTTTTTCTTGTGTTCTTTCCTCTGCTGTTCCCTTGTGTTTGTAATTATCTTTCCTTGTGGTTGGACAGGGAAGAGGATAAGGGAAAATATACAGCAAAAAGCAGTTATGTTATATTCGGTGACCCATCCTACTTGTTCATTTCTCCATCCATCCACACATGAACCCATCTGGTATTTATTGATCATCTACTGTGAACCAGGCATTATATTGGACTCTGGATCTAAGATTTAATGAGCTAGGACCCCTTCTGTGAAGCTGTCTAGACCTAATAATAGGCATTTATAGTGGAAAATATGTCAAAATCAGGTAAATTCTATCATGGGAGGGTCTTGCAACCTGTTCTTGGGGGTTTCAGGAGAAGTTTCCAGGAAGAAGTACTGTCTCAACTGATGCATAAAGGATGAATTGAAGTTAGCTGGGTGAACTCTGTGTGTTCGGGCTTGAGTGTGGTTAAGAGATGAGGAGGCGTTTCCAGCAGGAGAAACTCCATGTTTTAGAGGTTACATTTTATGTGAGGGTTGTATTCTAAGTCCTTGCAAATTCAGAACTCCCGTAATTCAAGGAACTTATATAATGTTATATACCAAATACAAATTTTACTTCAATTAAAAAAAATGTTTTTTTAAAACCAAAAAAAGAAAATATTTCTGACAAAAGACCAATGATGGTGGGTATTTCTGTTTATCAGCTAATATGGTGCCACCCTGTGGCCACTCTGTAAACAGAGTTTAGAGTACCCCTTGGCCCAGCCAAATTTGACACTATAATTTTTAAAGAATTTTAATATTTTGGGTGGTTTTAACACTGATTCAAATTAATGTGAAACCATATTAATGCTTTGATATCATATTATGTCAAAGTTGCATAATTCAAGTTCACATCAAATAGGACCAGGCCTTGGAGAGCTTCAGAGCACTAGCTCGTGGCCCATTTGATGGATTGAAGGTGGTTCAGCGTGGATCGCAGGGACACCTGAGAGTGGGAGTAGGCTAGGAAGGAGAGAGAGGGGAGGGAGAGTGGCGGGAGAGGAAATGGATAAGGTTTCAGGGCCCCGATCATCAAAGGCTTGTGAACAATGATAAGAAGATGGCAATGGGGAGCCTCTGAAGAATGTTGAGGAGGGAATAGCAAGGTCAGCCTTAGGCTTCTGCTAAAGTTTTAATAGATGAGAAAGTTGAAATTAGACTAAGGATGTGTATGGGTTTCAGATATTTGTGGAACATTCCTCTTTATTTCTAATGAGACTTGGTTATAAACAATATAAGCTTTTGTGATTTCAAAGTACTTTTAAGGTTTTTGTTTTATTTTGTTTGTTTTTGAAGGTCCATTGACTATCTAGGAAGAGACAATAAAGTACATAGCTTAACCAGCAGGAAGGTTGGACTGAAGCTCAGCCTAGACTTGGGATCTAAGGGTCGGGGGGAATTTGATTAGCAAATTGTATTTGGAGGTCTGTGGTAAAATAGGTTGGGGGACACATGAGTTAGGCAAAGTTAAATAGATTCCTCTTCTGGAGGACTTCTTAGAGCCTTAAAAGCATTAATGTGTGTATGGACCTCTAAGATAAATTTAAGGCATGCAGCACGTCCCAAACTTGCTTCAGCACTAAGGACTCTTTATTCTGGAAATAGTCATTATAGTCTGGCTGAGGGCTAGTCGTCCAAGGAATGTGTATCAGTTATCTATTGTCACAATAATGCTGCATAACAAGCCGCTTCAAAACCTCAGTGGAATACAGTAATAAATACTTAGCTTACAAGTTTGGGGGGTTCAGCTGATCTTGATCTGGGCTTGGTGATTTCAGCTGATGTCATTCATGTGTCTGTGGTCAGCGGTGGGCTGGGCAGGCAGCTCTTCTGATCCTAGCTGGGTTTTCTCACTTGTCTGGGGGCTCAGTGGCTGAGCTAGGAGGGCTTTAGCTAGGAAGAGTAGGGAGACTTGTCTCTTCTATATATGTCTCTCATCCCTAAGCACGCTAGACCCACCATGTCCTCCTGGCCATGACAAGGGAGTAAGAATGAGAGCAAGACCAAAAGTGCATGCACTTTTCAAGCCTTTGTTTATATCATGTTTGCTAGTTTCTCATTGGCCAAAGGAAGTCGCACGGCCGTCCCAGAGTGGGAGCACACTACAGGGTTACATGGCAGAGGGTTTAGATACAGGGAGGGAGAAGAATTGCTCTTTTTGCAATCAGACTACCCCAGAACCTAACTTGAGAATTGCGGGTGAGATCACAGTCAACTGAGCAAGGAATGAGGTCAGTCTTCTCTCTATGCATGGCGACGGACTGTACTTTTAATTCTGATAAGCAATCTCACAAATAGATGTCTGGGCGATGTCAAGTGAGAGAGAGTTCATCTGGTTCCACACAGGACTTTTATTATCTGTCTGTGGAATCATTTCAGGGCTGAAAGGATTGTGGACGTTAGCTAGTTCTAGTTGCGTCATGTTGGAAATGAAGAAACAGAGGCGCAGAAAGGTTAATTGGCTAGCCGAAATCTACACAGCTAGCTAGAAGCAAGGCCAAGCCTCAAACCCAGATCCTCTCTCAAGCCGTTTGGGTCTTAATTACCTCAAAGAAGCTTTGTTGGGGAGGGGTGTGTGGAAAGGACCGAAATGTATTCCCAGTCTTAAATATGAACAAATCACATTGCTTCTGGAGGGACTGTAATATAAATAATTTTTAAAATAGATGTTAGAGGTTTTTGGAGGGGCAAGATGGATAGTTATACATTGAGTGGTTGCTGAATACAGTGACTGGAAATCCTTTTATTGTGAGAAGTTGGGGATGGAGTTTGAAGCAAGAGGGCCCTCAGTTGGGTAAGTCATTCTGCTTGTCAGAGCCTCAGTGTTCCCACCTGTGAACGTTAGCAAACGAAAGCAAAATGTGGAATTTGCATGTCATCCTTGTGCAGGGACCACGGTAATCTTTGTATTGTCCCAATTTTAGGATCTGTGCTGCTGAAGCGAGCACTGACTGGAGATCTTTGGTGTTATATTTTTGTTGTCAGGGTTTTTCTCTCCTCTGCCCCCTTGCTACCCCTAAGAATTTCTGCTGCATCAGAGAAGTCAGCAGAGGACTTCTGAGCAGAGAGCAAAGCGTTTGTGTTCTAGCTCCTACTTTGTCAAACAGCAGATAAAATCCTGAAGGCAGATCTGGCATTCCAGCATAGGAGCTGCATTAACACCTCATTTAGCTGACAGTAGTGGGGAACAATTTGTTCTACTTAAGTAAAATTTTGATCGTGAAATTCTACCCATTTAAGCACTGTCAAATAAATTCACTATTTTGATGATGGAAATATTTCTGGAGTGTCTCATATATTCCCCTGATCTACTAAATGGCGAATAAGTGAAACTTCTCAGGCTCGTCCTTTTAGACATCACTTATTGAGGCAATATGCCGTGTAAAGAGCCATGTAAGTGAAAGGCATTATTACTGTTGTTATCGTTTGCTTAGGGACTGATGGAGTGTGTGGGAATACTTGCCATTAACTCAGTTTTCACAGATCTGCTGTTTTAATTCTTGTGTCTTATTTTCAGAGTGTTTCTCTGTTCCTCCTCGTTGTCAGTTGATCAGCTGTACTTGTGGGCTGCTCAAACACAGACTTGTTCTTAGATCCGTTCTGTGACCTTCTGCTGTTCTGTTCCAAGTTACAGGGAACTACATTTCCCAAGCTCCCTTGCCCTCTGCTGTCCGGTGGAAGACGTGGACTTCCCCTTTCTCCACCGCAGCCTGTGCTGTTCTAGTCTCTGGGCTCTGGTAATATCACTTCCCTCCATGATCCCTCCTGCCTGGGCAAACTAGCAGCTTTCCGCAGTTGCTGGGCTCTGGGTTCCTCGCTGTTCCCTCTGTGGCCTCTCAGCCATTCCATCACTCTGTAACCAGTCCCTTGGTTTGAAAGATCTGGAGTAGTTTCTGTTTCCTGGTTGTCCTTGATAACAGTTTATTGAGACTCCTCTTGCAACTCTTTCCTTATAATTTTCTCCTTGCAATCTACTGTGAGAACAACAGCCAGGTTACCCAGTTTATTTTATTGGACATAAAAATGCAAACTCGATTGAGCAGTAGAGCAGAGTGGTTTAGAACCAGGGCTCTGGCATCAGAGGGCTGGGGTCCCAACCCCAGTCATACCACTCATTGGCTGTGTGACTCCGGGCAAGTTTCTTAACCTCTCTGAGCCCCACTTTTTTCACCTTACAGTGCCTATGCTGTCTCTTAAGACAACACCTGTCGGGGAGAAGGGAAGGATTTGGGAATGGGCAGAGGGAGAAGTTGAGCTGTGGTGCAGTCTTAATAGAAGTCTTAGTCAACCCCACATGGAGCTCTACAGCAGGTTGGGCCTTTAGTCACTGATGTTGACCACTGGCGGCAGTGGCCAGGGGAAGGGTGCTGGGCCTTGGGTGGAGCACTTTCTCCAGCTGAGGGCAGTTTCCTGCGTTCTGCCTGCGGCACTCACGGCAGCGGGGTGGGGGGGGGGCGGTCTTCAGTCCTGAAGTGGCGTCTGGTCATCGCATCGCAGTGTCCATATCACACCTCCAGGTATGTAGTTGTGAATGATAAATAATCCATGAGAAGTGTGTTACTCAGTGCTTCATAGTTGTGAATGCTCAACAATATTAGTTATCAGTATTAATAGACTTTCCAGGAAATGGACTTTATGATGTCTAGTTTAGCTATTCAGAGGGGACTTCTGTCCGTGACCTTGTCCTAGAGAGTCAAGAAAAAGCAGCGTTAAGTGGTCTGTGGGTAAATTAGGTTCTGTGGCTTCAACCCATATACTGTTTTTTTTTTTTTTGGAGGAAGATTAGCCCTGAGCTCACTACTGCCAAATCCTCCTCTTTTTGCTGAGGAAGACTGGCCCTGAGCTAACATCCGTGCCCATCTTCCTCTACTTTATATGAGGGATGCCTACCACAGCACGGTGTGCCAAGTGGTGCCATGTCCACACCTGGGATCCGAACCAGCAAACCCGGGGCCACTGAGAAGCAGAACGTGAGCACTTAACCACTGCGCCACCAGGCTGGCCCCCCATCTACTGTTAAATACGCTTGTACTTTTATATTAATGTTAACTTGGTATCTTTAAATATGGCTTACCCATAAGTTCTTATATCTTATTCCCTAAGGTATTCAAAGTATCTAGTATCAAATTTGATAGGAATGAATACAGCTCTCATTTTTCCAACACTTATTGTATAGCCATGGTGCTAAGTGTGCGTTTATCTCATCAGTTCTCAGGACGACTGTCTAAAGTGCTGAGATTCCAGTTTGATGGGGAGCACCTGAGTTCGGTGAGGTTAAGTGATCTGCCCGAGGTCACCCAGCCAAGCAGTGGCAGCTAAGTTCTCCCCCAGACTCCTATCAGCCTACGCTTTTAACTACAGATTTTAACGATTTAAACAGCAGTAGGGGAAACCTTCTCCTCTGCAAATAACTCTAGCGAAGTGTAGGTGTTGTTTTGGTAGAAACATTTCAGCTGCTGCCATAAAAATCTTCTCCCAAATGGCTTTGTGAGAGCAAAGCTGTGCAGGCTCTGCTTGTGTTTATGATGTGAGCCTTATGGCTCAGCCACAACATGAATGATTTGTTTTCCTGGCCTTGCTGGCGAAGCGATTTAATTTCTGGATTTCGCTGAGGAAAAAGCCTAAACAAATAAATTTCTTTATAATTGGATGTTTAAAGAGGAGCCCAGGAGGAAAAGTCAAGATGGGAAGCCAGGTACTTGTTCGTTCCCTGAGTGATGTAGAACTTAGATGGAGTTTACTCAGTACTTTCACTTCCCAGTATTTGGCTCTCTGCTCTTCATCAGGAAATGATTATTATGATCAGCTAAAGCCCCACAAGCAAGGTGGATGTTTAGGTAAGTGGGTGGTCAACATTGTTAGTGGAGAACAGCAAATGAGGTCATGACTTCTTTATATATAAATAAAAGTAATGCTTCCTCTTCTGTAGAAAACAGAATTTTTTCAAAATTGGGTATATGGTCCTAATGAGAAGTCTAGGAGGCTGTAAATGTGTGCTGAGGATCCTGTTTCTTTGATCTATCAGTTAGGATAGTTTGGCCATTTATAACAGAAAAATGTAAAATAATGATGACTTAAACGAGATGGAAGTTCATAGAAAAGAAATTCAGAATTAGGCACTCTGTAATTTCACGGTAAGACCAGGAGCCCAGGTTCCTGTCTTTCTGTCCCACTGGCCTGATCATGTGGCTTCCATTTTCAAGGTCACTCAGGAGCCAGTTTAGGCCATCTTGTCCCCAGTCCAGATGTACAGCAGAAAGCATCTCCCTCAATTTCTGTGGCCTTTCTGGAAGTTCCATTTAATATTTACATTTTCATTTCATCGGCCAGTACTTGGTCACATGGTCATACCTAGCTGCAAGAGAGCCAGAAATGCAGTCTTTAGTTGAGGCTGTCTTACTGATGAAAAAGAGGAGAATGGATGTTACGTGATAACTAGCAGTTTTGTGCTGCGTTTGGGATTGTAATACTAATGCCTCAACCAAAAATTTAGACATGGTGGAGTTAACATTAACAGGTGAATTTTCTTTGTGTTTGTTACCCTCATAATCCTCAGTCTTCAGTGGGCTGATATGCATCAGAATATACACAGCTCTGGAATGTGCTTCACTCTGGCCCCCTTGACTGGAGAAAATAATAATCAGAGAAGCACACTTTCTTCATCCATTCAACAAATATTGACCAACTACCATGTGCTGTGTATGCACTCTGCCAGATCTTAGCAGCGTCTAGGAGCTGGAACAACATTTCCTGCGTATATTTGATCACCTCCTTTTACCCGCCTATGTAAAGTCTGTTAACGCTTCCAGGAAGCAATGTCTTAAGGAAGCTAGTCTGGTAAATGCTAACCCGGAGTGCTCCTCAGTAGGAGAAACCTCACCTGCCCAGCATGGGGATTGAAAGAGAAAAGTGTCTGTATCAGTTACCACTGCATAAAATCCACCTCAAAGTCCAGTGCTTTAAAACATTAAGCTTTTATTATTGCTCACAAGTGGGTAGGCTGGGTGGTTCTTGTGGCTTTGGCTGTGGTCATTCTGAGCACATCTGTGATCAGCTGTGGGTTGGGAGTTGGCTCTGCTGATCTTGGCTGGATGTGCGCACTTGCTTGGGTATTACAGCAGTTGAGACCCTGGAATTTTCCTGACATGGTCTCTTCATCCTCCAGCAGGCTGGCCCAAGCTTCTCATGGTGGTCACATGGTCCAAGAGAAAGAGAAAAATGCATGAAGTCCTTTGAGGCCAAGGCTAAGGATTAGTAGTCTAACTTCTGCCAAAGCAATCACAAAATCAGCCCAGATTAAGTTGGGGATACAGGCTCAGTCTTTTGTTGAAAGGAGCTGCAAAGTCACATTGCAAAAGGTGTGTAAAACTGAAGAGGTAGAGAATTGGGGCCATTTTAGCAGTCAATCTATTACAGTGTCCCAAGGAGGAGAAATTTAATCTGTATGAATGCCTGATCCTTTCTGTACCTTTTCTCCTTCCCTCCTTCCACCCAACATGCCCAGTCAAAATTCTTGTTCATTTGAACATGTTGATAGCTATGTTGAGGGAATGAAATCAGGTGTCTTTACCTGCCTAAGTGTGTTGGAATCCCCACAGCTCAGTCACCAGCTGGTGGGTAAGACTTTTGAGTAGGTGGGCTCTGTGATATCACGTGCTGTTCTTTGGGATAGCAGTATTACTCCATTTCTTGTGTACTCCATAGCTAAACTGCCAGGGAGTAAGATATGTGGCATAGAGGTAACCTAATAGACTATAACTCTGTCATGCCCACTTGTTCTTCCTCACTTTCATCAAGTGCCCCTAAACATGTAAGACTCATAAAAACAATATGAATAAGAAGTCACAAATAAGGAGAGAGTGGTTTGAGCCAGCTGATAGCAAACATGAAAAATGGAGACTGTTTATGAATCAGCTTCCCTTGTCTTGTTCTATTTCTGTTTACTGTG